TGAATGTACATTAACACCTTTGTACAGGTCTTACTGTAAATGTCTACACCTTCTTTCATCAGGACTTCTATACACTTTAGCAAGCCAACGTCAGAAGCATCCCCTAAGATTTTTCTTTTATGTAAAGGAGGTGGAGGTATGCCTTCTGATAAAGAAGCCCATTCGGCACGGTTGCAGAAACTAGCCACCCCTTCTAAGTTACGAAACCCAGCTTTCTCGACATACTTCATCCATCTGTCAGGCGCCATGATTTCTCGCAATTCGCCATTATATTATATGTGCTGAACTTAAAATGAAAGATTGACGTTTATAATAATATTGGAAAGCATTAACACTAAAATTACTGAGCTTTAAGTAGTATGAGTTAAATTGAGTTATTAAAATTTCTCTATAAAAACTTCAAGAGTGCATCTTTTGAGTGTTTAATTGATTTACACTTCAATTTACGTGGTGCTAAATAAATTTCTTTAATAATTTCTCAGAGAAACATTTTTTATCTTTCTAATAATTGCAAAAAAGTTGCAAAAAATTGCAAGAATGGATCAATTTGGCCCGTCTGATATTTTTAGTCTTAAGACACAAGTAAGTTCATGTATAGTTGAAAAAATTTTAGGAAAACGGAATATATGAATATATTTATTAACAAAGAGCATATTGACAAAGTTAACATTTACTTATTTGTATGTATTGTAGAAGGCGTCATACAGATGATATAATTGAAGAAGTAATCTACTTATTTACAAAAGCAAAACGTGAGAAACAGATACAATAGAAATAGAAGAAAATAATAAAATTTGGAAGAAGTTAAATTCGAAAACTTGTTTTTTAACGTGTTGAACTTCTAATCGTATTTTTCGTTAATTATTTTGATTTATATCAGTATTGAAAATAATAAATAATAATAATAAATAATAAATATAATATAATAATTATAAAAAATAATAAGTATAATATAATAATAAATAATATAATAATAATAAATAACAAATAATAAATAATAAAACTATTAAAACCGTTAAAACCCAAATTCCACAGTATTATCATCTATCATTTACGAAATAAATATTTAAAAAGGTATCCAAATTATCCTTACACATTCTTTAAAATTAAGAAAAGTAAATTTCTTTTTTAGGTAAATGCATTAAACATAGGAAACATATTAACCGAAACATTCCTTAACTTTTGTTAGCTAGTGTACACGTTTAAACAGAACAGCTAACGGAAAAAGGTCCGCCTATATTGGCAATAACAAAGCAAACTTATAATCATTTTATTTTGCATGAGTGTTTTTGTTTCGTCGCTGCAAATAACCGCGGAGCATCCTACCTCTTTAATAGCTTTGAGATGTTTTACGAGACAATATTCGTTTGCCATTCGTTTGATCGTTAGAATAAGGCTGACGGTCATGGTGGCTTGCAAACCTTCCGGTATATTTGCGACTATAATATCGATCAAAGAAACAGTCGAATCGACTCAATTGTAATCCGTGGTTGTCGACAAAATGAAAAAAAGTAATCCGAGGAAAATCGCCCAGGTTAAGATCAATTTCATGAACCGGTGCATCTCGCAGGAAAGCGGCGTCGGTCTTGGTGTCAATTATGAAGTTAATTTGACGACTCTGTCCATCACGGTCTGATCACCGCAGGCAACCACGACGTCTTTTCCGGTACCTGTTGTTTAATTAATCAGACTTTGAGAAACGCATTCCACGAATAACTTTCGACATTATAGGAAGCAGATAAGAAACGATTATGCAGGCACCCCGCGTATTTCATCATACCTTCCACTATATTAGTCGAGAAGAAAATCATGTTCTTCGCTTCGAGAATGCAGGTCGCTGAATTTATGACCGCAGTTTTTAGAAACCGAGTAGATCCGCCGATGATCGATGCGTTGTCGACTTTGAAACCTTTATCGCAATAAGAATACCTTTGAGGACTTTGGTGTCTAATTGCAAAAGACAGATGAGAAGAAATACCATGGAAACGTGAATGAAAATTCATTTTATGGATTATTCGCAATTCGCTTTACAAACGGAATCGGCAGTCCATCGCGCGATTAGAATAACTTGCTACGCAAGTGTTTCACGGCTCTGTAAATTGGATTTATAAAACACAAAATCAATGTGATACCTCGAGCGTTAACGGAGAGAAAGGCGAGGACTTTTTTCTTGGGAAATAAGAAAGTTAGGTCTGCAACTACAGCAGATACGAATTTACCTTGACATTCCAGGATCCTAATGTCAGCGGGTACGCGGTCGCCAGTTTCTAAAAGGACAATGTCCCCGACCACTAATTCGGCTATACACAGTTCTTTTTTCTCACCGTCCCTCAATACCGTGGCCCTTTTTGGGACTATTTGTTGGAATGACTCCATGATTCGTGAACTTTCCGACTTCTAGTAGGAACTGAACATCCCGGTAATTATAATCAGAGCTACGAGAACGATCCCAAGACCTAAGTGATCGTTCGAAGCTTCTTTAAAATATAATTGCAGAAACATAGTATGACGCCGACCTGAAAGTTTGCAATCGTTAGCAATAAATAATTGGATTATATCATGTTATAAGGAAAAAATGTTAAGATTAACATAAACTTTAAAACACAAAAATGGTGAAGAATTTTTACTACAATCTGAAATAATGTGCTTGTAACAAATTACTTTATTTATAGAAAATATCATTTACTTTTGTCATATAAATACAGCAGCACGTGGACCTTAAGCATAAGCAAGTTTAAATATTTTGATGCGTTTTCAAGAATAAAATTATTTCGATCATATATTATAATGAACTTGAATTCATTCTATACATCATCGGTAAGAATAAAATATTCACAAAATAATAAATAACTCTTTTTCTACATATATATCAATTGAGCAATTGTACAATATTAATTAGATTAAATTAATCATTTTGTTTATAATTACTTATATTGATCTTCTCTTAATTCAAACGCTTTTAATCAAAACTATTTTATACTGTATAGTGTATTTAATATATTTAATATTTGATGTTACATTCGATTATTAATGTCTTATGTATCCATATTAACGAAGAAAAACCTTCGAGACATCGATACAAAAATTTTAACACATTGGAAGTCTTTCCTGGAGGTGTAAGCGCATTGTATTCATTATTTTTTAAAAGGTCGCGTGCAACAGTTGTGGATAAACCGTTCACCGCATCACTTTGTAGACTTTGCAATAAATCTTCTGCTGTACTGAGGTGAACGTCTGTTTCGATATCCCGGCGCAGAGAGTCTAAATTACTGGCAACACGCCGCCGTTGCATTCGCTTGCCAAAACATCGCAATATTTTCCAGTCAAAAATACAATTCATTATAAGTTGTATTAAATGGAAATTAAAAAAAATATATTCCTCATATAAAAAGTTTAAATAACCGTAACGTGTGATTAGACATAAGATTCTATCGAGATATCGTCGTACGCATTTTCAAGCCACCGTGTATCACACTTCAATTGTACTCACTTGAAATACATACTATTGTATTGGATTGATGCAAAAGTTTTGACACTTTTTGTACGTGGTTAAAAAAAAGATTGTTTTCTTCGAAACAAATAACGTCTGTTTTCAAACTATTATGACGTGTATAAAAGACAATTCATTTTTTGTTTTTACTTAGTTTTGATTTAGCTAACGAACTGCTGAGAACTCTTCTTTTTATTTCCTATAAAAAACCGTCAAAGCTTTTGCTTCAACCCACTCAAATGAAAAAATGTAACATATTTGACGTGTGAATACACACAATGTTTGTGTTTGAAAATAACTTTTTTTATTAATTAGTACATTAAATGTAACAGCATTGTGCTTCCATCAAATATAAACTTTTCAAGAGCCAAACATATTAAATCCATAAATAATAAGTGCAATATGTTATTTATATATATGTAAACTATATTAAATGTAAATTTTATATAATATGAAAGGCATATTAGAATACATATATTATATATTTTTTCCCTATTATTTTTATATGAAACCGGAATTGCTTTTAAAGTAATGATTAGCTAAATTCACTTTTAAAAGACTCCTATAGGCTTATGTGTAATTATGACTTGAACATTATAGGACTTTTCTCATAAAAATGAATGCAAGTGTAATATGCATATCTCATTTATTTAATAACATTTATTACCATTAATATAGTTATTTCAATGTTATTACTTAACTTTCATCTTGGTGAGGAAACCTGCAATAGTAACTGAAATTGATACAATTTTTGAAAAATATGATGAATGTTAAAGCGAATTTTCCAATAAGTATTTAAACTCATTCTTCGGAACTCTCTAAAGTCATGAAATAATGAAAAATATTCTTTCTAACTTGTGCGACTAGTTTTTCTAAATTAAATATAACGGCAAAAAATAAAAAACTGGTTAATTATTCGTCAATTTTTATTTTATCATATTAAATTATACAATAGAATTTAATTTTTTATACATTAAATGTTAATAGAATAAAGGTCTTGAATCGTTTCCACACTGATTTTAATCATCCTTATTATTCGATTTCTAATAAATCCTGGCTGCACAAGGATCATACAATAAACGATTGCCTCAACACTTTCCTTGCGAGCCTTCGACGATTTTTCATACGAATCTATCCCTGAATATATGGCAACATTGTACTATTTGAGCCGACAACGTTGCAGAAAGTGCCCTCCCTCTACATTCACTTTTTCGAGTCAATTTCTGTTGCAGTCTTACGTAGTTCGTTAGTTAGCCGTTTCATTTAGGTAGAGTGCGCTTTGGTAATAAACGATTTTCTACAACATCGGTAATAAAGGCTCGTATACAGAAATTACGGACCTAAAGTACGCAATTGAATTCTACACAGAAAGTCCCGTTACCTGATTGGTTTATAAGAATCGTAAATCTGTATTAATAGATGAATGATACTGTTTTATCGACAACTTTGTGTCCACAACGCACTCTACAATAGAAAGAAATAGATGGTGGCGCTGTTGTGGAAAGACTGAAGCTTCACGAATCTCGACGCTCGAACGACGCCACGCAGAGGAAACGGGTTCTCGGACCGCCATAATAGCGCCAAAGCGGTGTGTACTTCGTCCCGCTCGTTTGTCGTCCGTGACGCGACGCTTACCGACGCTCGGCGTCATTTCTTCAAAATCCGATTAATGAAGCAACATTCTCAGTGTGATTGTTGTTGCAGTGTGTTAAAAGTGTGAATATACTACGTCCGAGAACGCTCGGGAGAAGAACGACGTAAGAGACGCGTGAGTGCGTGTCTTTGTGGGTGTCTGTACGGACGGTAGGCAGGAAAACATGGAGAACAGACCGGCGCCACTCCGTTCCAGACGAGTCTGTCGGTTCTGCCTGACAGAATCGGAACCACTTAGCTACATTTACGAGAGAGATCATAGTAAGCCGTTTCAAGTGCCGCTTACCCTGCAGATCATGTCGTGCGTCGCCATCGAGGTAATTATTTCCTTTGAAGACGGCATCGACCCATTCTCTGTCCACCTTTCATTCCATATTCTTCGGAATACTGCACATTCTTTTCTCAGATAATGCTACTCCACACGCTAATTTGTTTCTTACATTAACAATACTTCGTATCATTTATTTCTTTTATTATCAGAAGTTTTTATCGAATTAAATGTACACTGTGCCAATGTACAGCAAACAGTTTGGGTAACGCAGGTATCATATTTGCCGGTTGAGTTGTAGTTTCAGCAACTTCTCGTTAAGTTTCGTTCGCCAAGAAATTTTCATTCATCTGTGTAATAACTTGTTGTAATATGTATGCATAATTTGTGAATTAAGAAAATTGTAGATATATATGTTTATTTTAACTATTTGACATAGTTGAATAATATGTGATTGATAATTTTTTTTTCAATGCAGTGATGGTAAAGCATGAAATTCGTATATTTTGTTTCATTTCGAGGTACAAATGCTTATCCTATTGATGATTATTTGTTTATCAATTCCTTCTCGTTGGCGGGAAAGTAAGTCGAGTTACATGTCCTATGAAACTATTAAATGTAATTTTGTTATGTATGTAATGTATATCAGTTTTATTTTATTGTATACTTTTTATAAATGAAATTTATTTATTTTTATGTATTTTGGCAGTTATCATCGTTCAAAGAAAAAAAAACGTTTTTTCACAATGGTTTATCTTTTATTTTGTAAATGAATTATATTTTTTCATTGAAACTTAAACAGTGATAGAAATATTTAAGATATAATGAAAATTTTGTAACGTATTAACTCATTTTTTGATATATTATGTTTAAGGTTTATGCAGCAGATGGAATGCCACAAATGATATGCAATATGTGTCGTTGGAATCTAGATCGTTCTTATAAATTTAAGCTTCAGTGCAAGAAAGCAGATGAAGCACTAAGAGCTTATCCATTATCTGGTGTCTTACCAAGACCATTTCCACCAATCCCTAATGATCCCCCTGAAATCAATAACAAAAGACCATTGGAACAAAGGTCCCAAAATGATGCAGTAAAAAAGCCTAGAGTTGATAATGGTGATAGAGAAAGACGAGAGGCACGAGACAGAGAAAGAGATAGAGAAAGAGAAAGAGAAAGGGAACGAGAGAGAGACAAGGATCGTGATAGAGAAAGAGAAAGGGAAAGAGAAAGAGAGAGGGATAGAGATAGAGAAAGAGAAAGAGATAGAGATAGACAAGCAGAAAAACAAAGAGAGAAAGAAGAGCAACATGATTTTTATGAGGAGGAACAAGATGCAGGTAGCGAAGGAGATCAAGATACAAGTAGTGCTAAAGAAGAACGTAAATTAGAACCAGGTGAGATAAGAGTTCATGCATGTGATCAGTGTGATCGCACTTTTCCTCTACGTCAAGCCCTTGCTCTCCACATACAAAGAGCCCATAGAGATCGTAACTACAAATGCACAGAATGTGACCGTATGTTTTTCTCTAAATATGATCTAGGAAAACACATGAGTACTCATTCTGAGGAAAAACCTTTCTGTTGTCCAGTCTGTAATAAACAGTTCTCAAGAGCAAATTTACTGCAACGCCATGAGAAAGTTCATAGGGATGAATTGCGATATGGCTGTCAGCATTGTGACCGTGAATTCTTTACAACTGAGGAATTAGAAAAGCATGAAGATGCTGTGCACAAAAAAGAAAAACCTTTCCAGTGCAATATTTGCAATAAACGTTTCACCTACAAACAGGGGTTGGAACGGCACGAGGTGCTTCATAATGAAGATAAGACGTTCGTTTGTGAGTATTGTAAGGAAGCATTCCGTACAAGTACAAAATTGGCACGTCACTTGACAACTCATGCAGGGCACAGACCATATTTATGCAAGCTTTGCCCTCGTTCATTTCTTCTATCTCATCATTTAACTAGACACATGCGTACACATTCTGTCGAAAAGCGTCACGTTTGTGAAGATTGTGGAAAAGCATTCAAGCGTAAAGAGAGTTTAGAAGTACATCAGCTAACGCACACAAAACGCACAGGTATGGGATTAACTTGTGATGTCTGTCAGGAATCCTGCAGAAATAGAGCAGACTATGTTACTCACATAAAACAACATATTGAAGCAGGTGAAAAAATGGGACCAGATGGACTACAGCCAGACAATAAAACCAAACTCGATCTAGAGAGTGATGAAGACGAAGAAGAAGAACAATACTCTGATGGCGACGATGATTACGAACCACCAGCATATATTGTAAAGAAACTTCCAAAACCAAGTAAGCCTGATAGATCAGAAAGCGAAGAAGAACAGGAAAGGTCAGAGAAAGATGAAAATCAAAAGGAACAGGTAGTATATGTCAGACGTAAAGATGGTAATATGATTAAAAAGACAATTAAAACACTAATGCCTATTCAGCGTAGAGAAGTACAAGACACAAAGGTTAAACAAAGTCCAAACAGTAGTCAATCACAGCAGGTTACAAAAACTTCACAGTCTAAGCCGAATGAGGAATCTTCAAAAACTTCTCGTGTAGATGAAACAGAAGCACAAGTTCAAAAAATAGTTGCATCTGTATTTAAAGAACACAAAATTCCTTTGAAACATCAAAATGTTGCTCAAGATCAAGGTAAAGAGTCACCTACATCTACAAATCAATCAAGACCACCACAAGGACAGAGTAATTCACAAAATCAAATTGTTGCAAAAGATGATAAGTTAGAAACTTCTACTGCAGTTAGCGGTACACCAAAAGCTGTTAGTACCATTAAGGTGATAAAAAGAATCGTTGTGCGAAAACCCAGTGGAACTACGGAAACTCCTACAGGACCAACTATAACAAAAGAGGGAGAAACACCAGGAACTGTGTCTGAGCTAACTAGTTCAGGTCACAAGGTTACAAAACGAGTAATTGTTCGCAGAATCATTCGACAAGGGGATACTACAAGAGAAGTTATTATGAATCCTGATGGTACAATAATAGATCCAGCAGAGCTAGCAAAATTACCTACTGGTAACGTTGTAAAGAGAGTTGTTGTGAAAAAACCTCTTGACAAACATGCAGGTATTGTTCAAGCAGTTTTACAATCATCTACTGAACAACGCCAGCAACCAACTCCAATAAAAAATACCGAAACTGTAATAAGTGATTCTCCAAAATTCGAATTAAAAACATCTCAATCAATAAGTACACCATCATCTGCGCCGAAAACATCTGTAGCGACTATCCAAAAACCTGCGTTAACAGGAGGTGATCAAGAAACTAAAGAAAAATTAGAACAACTAGAGAAGAGAGTAGAGCAACAACGTTTAAAAATTGAAGAACTAGAAGCACGCAAACAACAAGAATATGAACCTATGGAAGAATTATCACCGGAACGTCATGATGAATCTGAAGATGAACAACAATTACCATTGAAGAGAGTATTTGTTAAGAAAAAGCAAAGTATGTATGATGAAGAACAAGAATACAATGACAATGATGTAACAACTACAACTCCTGTAACAACGGTATCTGTAACAACTACTCCTGCAGTAATATTGAAAGACGAGATTCAAGTTGAACCAGAAAAAGAAAAAGCTCCAGTGGAGTTAAAACAAGTTGAGAATGTACAAAAGGAATCAACAAAAACACCTACAGGTAGAAGGGATGGTAAACAGCCAATGATAACTAGTTCTAAAGTTTATGGAAATAAAAAGATTATCGTTGTAAAGACAGAAGAAGCATCAGAAGTAGAAGAGATGAGTCGCGAATTATGTAGTATACTCGATTCAGCTGACTCGGTAGTGAAGATGCAAGAAACAGTTTTGAGTAATCTCAGTCAAATGCCTACTATTGCAGAAACTATCCCGAAAAGTTATACTGATAAACCAAAAGCTGGACCCTCCAACGAAAATAATGAAACAATTAAAAAAGATGAAGTAGACGAAACTAATCCTCAAGATGAAGAAATAACTTTGAAGCTTGAGAATACTAGTACAATGGATGTTGTGGAAGATTTGGAAGAACCTGAGATAAAAATGGAATCTGTAACAGAAGAAGCAGTTACAATAATAGAACAACCTGAACAAAATTCAACTTTAACTTTAGACGAACAGGATCTTTCAGAGTCCACGGATATTTTTGAACCATCAGATAATGTTTTAGAAGTTCAAAAAAGTCAATTGGAGGACTCTGTGATAGAACTTGATCATGAGAATCATGCAATAAATTTAAATGATACTAATGACAGTCAAGATAGTCTGGAGGATAAACTTCAACAAATGGAAGGTTGAGTTTGTTTGATGTTACTGTTGAACACTCATGAATGTTGCTTTTAATTAAAATATTGATTTATAATATGCAAGCTCTGACTTATCAGTGTTGTGCTTTTGATCAATTTTACAAATTCAGAACTCGATCTCGATGCATTTTGGACGAATATAAATAACAATCTGATCGTTTAATCGTTAGATCCCTTAAGTAAACATGTGAGTTTAAGATAATCAACATCCTTTTATCACACTGTATCTGAACTCTGTATTTATCATTCATTTTTCCTGTGTGACAGTTGTAGAATTGTGTCTGCATGTAATTAATGACATCAATGAGATACGAAAAAAAAAGAAGGTAGTGCCTATTAATCAACATTTCTATACGAGAAAGACGTCATTATTTAAATAATAAGGAATTAATTCACAATTTTCACATACTACAAGAAATTTGTTACTTCTATTATTATGTCATTATGACATAGAAATATTAAAAATACGATTAAATATATTTATATATTTAGGCACTCATTCTAGATATCTTACTATCCGGTAAACATGTATGTTATTACCGAATGTAAGATGTTTGTACATATACGGGAGTTATATTTTACTTCGAATGTTGTCTTATGTTTAAACATTTTTCAATTGCAGATAAAGTCTCTTATCCAATGCAATTATTAGATTACATTTTATCTAGTTATTATTCACAACTGACTCCATTATTGGGAACACACAAGGTACTTTAAGGAACAAAACTTATTGTAACATTATGATAATTGTACGAGATTAGAATGACAACGGTACATAGATTATTCGTTATCCTATTAACATTTGAAGCTATGTATCAAATACAGACAATGGTGTGTAAATGTAAAATCAAGTGTTGCTTATTTTCCAGGACAACCTCTTCCGCACATCTAGTACAAATAATGTTGTTCTTTGCCACTGTACTTTCATGTGACATATTGACATTTCATTTCACAAAACAGGATGTAGCACACATGTTTAGATACACATTTTATTCATAATACATTATTTTTTATTCATTTACTTTATATAATATTATTATAATATTATATAAACGTGCTTACATATGTAATAATATTATTTCCGTCGTACTTGAATGTACAATATATAAAAAATATGTATCTTATAAATTTATAAATATAATAGATATAAAACAACGGTATTGAATGATTGTCAGCAATTCACCAATAAGGATGTACAAAAATATGTTAAAGGCTAAAAACAAGCGGAATTTGAAAATTAAATAGGTCATGTTACATTTTAATCGCATAGTAGTGTAAAGAAACAATTCTTGCAATAGTAACTACATAGTAGAATACGTTTATGTAAACCGTTAAATATACAAATACAGCTTAAGCATAGAACAAATGCTACAGATTGCGTTACATACAACTGTTTCGAAATGATTTTGAATTGACTGTATTGTAAAATTTAGTTTCATCAAAGTTTAATGAATAATTTTTTTTTATGAAGTTATCGACAATATCAATAAATACGACGTAAGATGTCGACACTATACGATTTTACTTCAGCAATTGATCTTTGGCCTTCTGTATCTTTTAATCATCAAATAAATCATACTATTTGTAATACATAACATAGTCTCATATCTTTCATAAATAATGTATGTTCTTTAATTAATATAAGTGAAATTGACATAATATTATTTCCTATTAATGTCTAAAGAAAAAAGGAATCCCTCATGTAATCAAAATGTAGAATTTCCAGTAGTTCTGTTTTCTCTCTTTTTTTAAAGAACAATAATCTAAAATTTTTTAATTTTCAAATTGTACGTATTCGATTTGAATGTAAGTAGTGACTCGACAGTATTTTAAACGTGATCTTGAAAAATGCCGGGAAGTTTAAGCTGGGTTGACGTCCTTCTTACTGGTAAGGCTCTCCAGCTGTAAAAATAATACTTCGCATATTTTTAATCGTTCGAATATTCATTACACGAATTACATAAAAAATTGCATTCCCGTCTTCGAATCTTTCTTTGTATCTTCATTTCTTAAAGTCCACCCCGTCCGCTGTCTATGTACTCGAACTGCTGTGGGAGAGAGACGATTGAAAATTTAAAGAAAAAGATTCTACCATTTCATATTTTTGAATACATAAAAAACATAGAAAGATTCTACAACGAGAATATAAACATTTTTGGTTCCAATTATTGTGATTGTGCAGTGACAACGTTATACATATTAAATGCAATGCAGTTTTCGAAAGTTCATTTTGATACAAGAATGAAAAGCGAATTTCAATTATTTTATCAAATTTGTTTAATATATTTCGTTCTAAATAGATCAATCGAACAAAATTAATAGTAAAATTATCAAACTCTTACATGTTTCATTTGAATGCATTCTTAATATTAAAAGTTCTGAAAACTGTATTAACACTAACCGTACGTCGTATCGGTCAATTGACCGGTTTTAAAATTTGATTTAAAATTCTGCTTTTTCTTTCATTTATTTAACTTTATATAAATTCCTATATCGCTTTTCTAAAATTATTTCAAATAGAAGTATAAACTAGGAGAATTTTTTTCTCGACAATCACAAACAAATAATTGAACAGTGGTTAAAAAAAGAAAATAACATAATATATTCATCTTATAAACAATTTTATTGCAAAATTGTTTCAATTATATTATAAAAGCAATCTTCTGCTTTTAGGTTTATCGATATGCATATTATGCAATCTCTTATAAATATAAAAAATGCTCACATTTCAATGTTGTCAAACATATTTAACAAATTTTCTTCATTTTAAAGAATATTAGTATGTAACATTATTCCTTGTATATTTACTTTCTTTTCAAAACACTGAACTTTCTTAACCATTTTTTATAATAATAACCCAGAGCACTTTATTATTTGGAACGTAAGCACTGAGTTGTCATTACAGCGACAAATACATGCTTGTATAAAATTAAAAAACAATTTCTTAACAAGTTATTTCAATAATTTCCCTAAGGAAATAAATAATTGAAATCAAGAACGTTAATCGGTAATCGTAGTGCGAACAACAAATTTTACTGGGTTGTTCTTTACGTGCTTTGTACCTCTTTCTCGCCTCGTGCTACAGACGAGTATCCTTCCGGTTCCTTTGCAGGACCGATCGCGTGCGCATAAACCAAACCACCTGCCATTCCACCCAAAATCGGTCCAATCCAATAAACCCAGTGATTATCGAACATATTCATTACAACAGCACTACCTAATGATCGAGCGGGGTTCATTCCTGCGCCTGTTCTTGGCACCTATTAAAACAAGACATAAAAGATAAAAGGTAAGAACTTTTATCAATAATGAAACAAAGAAAGAAAAATATGTTTAACCACTTGCCCCGTGATTTATTTCTTAACTATGATCGACATAATTACTTTGCCATTAATCATTTGTTAAGAGAAAAGTTGTAGACATATTGCACATTTATGTTAGCTCTAAAGTATAATTGACAACAGAAGAATATTTCATTTGAATGCAAAAGAACTCAGTAATATTTATCCTTATTAAACTTCGTTTAAAATCTTCACCGCGTGCCCGACACGTTATTATAAGGCGAGGGGTTAAAAATGTCGGATTGTATTTTATATAGGATTACTTTGGTTTAATATGTCTATTGAAATCTTGACGTCGTTTTGCAGATTCTTTCTCTTACTATGATTTTTTCTATTTATATTTGTATAAGAGTAATTACTGGCATACATATCTTCATGCATTTATAAAAAATGCCATTGAATCAAGTTTAGGAAAGACAAATATTTTAAATGTTGAACACTGATTATATTTGATTCTTAATAAGGATCATGTATCTATATGCGTGGTGTATAATTAAGTAATGCATATAATACACTGTTTTATCATTAAAATCGAATTTTCCCTTGAAGATCATGTTCTACTTATAGTATATTCAAATACCTCTGTACATTTGTACAAAAATGACGGCCATTAAAAAACGCATTTATTCGACTTTTTCCATATTTTTATACAATTTTGAATATTCCAAAGAATTATAATCAGTATACTGAAGACTTTATATTCTTTTAAAAATCCTTTGTGTCCTGTCCATAGAAGCATCATAGTAAAGTATTTATATTTATAAAAATTGATAATTACAAAATTACACTTTTCAATTAATCAACGGATGGTTTTCAACGAAGAATGTTTATTCTTTATTTTACGAAGTATACTAGTATCTTTTAATAATAATAATATAATGAAAAAGTAATAATAGTATGGAAAATTAAATAAAATTTAATATCTTACGCCAACAAGATGTCCAACACTGACTGCAAGTCCAATTACGAGAGGTGCAACTCCTTGGCTGTGTGGTTTAGCTGCGTCGCATGCACCGCATACGACGAGAACCAATATAAACGCCAGGAAGAATTCTATTCCGAAACCTTGAACAGGTGTAACACCTTCGGAAAGACTTACTACACCCAAGGCATTCTCCATTGTTTCGGGAGACAGCGCCCTTATTGCACCAGAACCCGCTATTGCGCCTATGCTTTGTGCCAAAACGTACAATAATCCTCTGATTATAGATACCTATAAAATAAAAAGAAATTATTAAATTACACTATTATCATATAAATCTTGTAGTTAACCCTTTGCCCTATGATTTTTTTCACAATTATGTTTGATAAAGATACTTTATCGCCAATAGTGTCTTAGAAAAAGAAAATAATTTAATGCTTATTTTATGTCTATGTTTACTCCAGAAGTTAACCATTGATAAAAGAAAAGTAATATTTAATTTGTATTCACAAAGATTAAATAGAATTTAAATTTGTCAAATTCAGTTGAAAATTTTCGTCTGACACGATACCGTAGAGCAAAGGGTTAATTTATTTTATAAAAATTCCATAATTGAACTTATAACAGGGAATTTTATGTTTGTTGATTTGAATAGTACAAGTAACATACTGTTACTCCTTTTGACATTATAATGAACATTCTAAGAAATTAATTTACAATATTTTAAAATTATTGAAATTTATTCTAAGTGAAAAAGAAACATCAAAATTTACTCTAGAAAAATTTACTGAAATTAAATTTTATTTAATACTTTAATTGTCCTTTGTATAAGTACTTTTTGACTTTGTATTGGTTTGTACATGCTCAAGAATAGGTTTTTATGAAAGCGTATACCGGCAAATGAGATTAGACGATTATAATAAGTTATCAACAAGTTGTGTCACCAGTGTCGAGTAACTTATAAGTAATAATTGTAGGTTTTATGGCCTACATTGCAGTGTAAGAAAAGGCAATGTATGTATATTCTAATATCAAGCAGAATCATTCTGTCGTAAAGATTTTCATTATATTTGTAAATACGGTATTTTTAGTGTTTTATTGCACAGTGTCCTTGACATATTTCTATATGACCTTTAATAATATATATATATTGGAGAATCAAGAAACTGTAATATCATTTGTAATAAGGGTAAAGATCGTTATTTAGAATTAATATTTAATACTAGTTTATAATAAATATACAGAGTAAACCATAATTTGTGGTATAATTAAAACATGGGTGTTTTTATGTAGAAGTAGATAAAAAAATATAAAATGATTACGTTTTTCATGGATTTTCATTTTATATGAAAATTGACTATAATAATTTGTCTAGTGCACACTTATTTAAATATTCATTTAAATACTTCGCAGAAGCATTGCATATTCTTATTACTGCACCTTATAAATAATTAAATAAAACATAAAAATACAATTTTGTGATTATGAGCATTTGGCATTTACAATAAACTGATTCAAAGAATTAAATTATTAATAACGAGGTAACTTTTGCGAGTAGGTATGTTACGAAACAAATCATAATTCAAGGGGCTAAAACATCACGTACTAAAACTAGAATTCATTTCTAAAATAATCCACGTAGTATTATAATCTGAGTCCATAATTGTTCTAATCAAACTGAAAAATGGTCATAAGAAAACAATTACTTTTTCCTATAAAATGTTTTTGAATAACAATAATAATTATAAGTGATCTTTATTTATTAATCTGATAATTGTTATTTTTAACCGAAACGTTTAAAAATCAAAAATACTTTATCATAACATTTTTTTTTTACAAATTTTCGTTATATTTTGTATTTAACGTTCTTAACATAAATAACTAACTGTACAGTAGAACCCTCTACAACACGATCAAAATATTCCGTACTACAGGATTTCACGTTTCCTAATTTCCCATGAAATTCCACTTTTGGATAATGGTTCAACTTGTATTAACACTAAAACTATCAGACGGGTTAAATTAACACATTTTAGAATTTTTAATTGGCAAGTATTTAAATTATATCAAGGCGTTTGTGAAAAACTGTAAAATAAATCTCTGTATTTGTACAGATACAGCAATAAGGGACCCATCAAATCTTCAAAAATATATTGTTCTAATTTTTATAAAAACTTAGACATAAGTCGCTCCAATTGCTCCGTAGTTTTAGTGTTAAGTTGGCCCTCCATTTGTATCAATTTTTTACGGAAAATCTCACTTTCGTAGTTACTGTTTGACGATTTTTTAAATCGCGTTATAGGGAATCCTACGGTAATGTTTTTTGGAGAATGTCCAACGCAGGCAAGTTACTCGTTACAAATGTTCCAATGATATTTCCAACCTTGCCAATAACCATTAAACCAAACGTCACTGCAGGGTTGACATGGCCGCCCGAAACGTGCCCTATTCCTTGGATCGCGGCAGCCACGGTCAATCCAAAGGCTAGACTTATGGCGACGACGTTTCCGGTGATGACAGAACCGCAGCCAAAGAAATTTAACAGCATCGTACCGAGAAACTCCGCGACCAGAGCCCGACAAAGGTCACCCTTTGATTCGGTGAATTCGTTTGTGCCCAGAGTTGCTTTCAAGTTGCCCATCTGCAAAATAAGATGGCCAATTCATCAACGTCGGGAAGCCGAGTGAAGATGTCAGATCGTTATGCAACCATGGTGTGTAATTAATGATGGGATGCAGCACATTGCGAACTGTATCGAAGTCTAACGGTACGTGTTCAAACATTATATAATCGCGATGAGAACGTGAAACAAATGTGCTTTCTGTAATTATATTTAGACTGCGGACATTCGTACAGTTATGACACATGCAATTATAAGAGATACATGAGTTTATGTACTATATATAACACGCTCTTGAGATATATGCGAATCCTCTTTGTCTTTAGTCATTATTCCGTATATTTAACGATGGTAAACATGTGAACAGGTTTTAATAGTAACTGCTTAATAGTTGCTCGTTTGCTAGCGACTTTTGCATTTACAACAAGTACATGGAAGCATTGAAGATTAATTGATGAAATAAACAAAGAAAAAATAGAATATATGTAAAGAAGAAATGTACAAATAGGTATGTACGAATATTGCTATATTGTAACAATATAGAAATAATATTTTGATAGTGAATAAACATAATTGTTGAGTTTATTCGAAAACTTGGTAAGTACTGCAGCAATTTCAATGGTAGTTCTATAAAGTTAATTTTTAATTTAAGGATAACTAGATTTATCTACTTTTATTAGATTACTTTAATTAGAATATTTTATCTACTTAATAATTGATTCTATTTGTTTATATCGATTATTTTTCCGTTTTGATGTATCTTTTAGATACAAGTGTAATTTGACAAATAAGATAATAAGTAAAGAATTTATTTATTACATCGTGTTTATACTCGGTTAGAACATTTATAGTAACTCGGTATTATACACTTTTCTTTAGTCTAAAGTAATTCAACTAAGATAAAAAAATATCTCACAATATTTTGCAGAATTTAATTCAGATTAACTTTAATTTATTGTCTATGTTCAACAACGGTTTTATTATATTTTTCTTATTATGTCACCCGTGTATCACAACAATTAATTATTCTTTTATTAATATCTATAAGAAATCTATAAATAAGTAGAATCGGTATGAAAATACATTAAATATTGAATTAAAATACTTGTATTAGTTAATATAGATATTACAGTTCGGATAACTAATTTTGTTTGACCAAATATTCTGCTTGAGTATTTGAGAACAGAACGACTAGGTTAAGGAAGACAGTATTGATTGATAACGTTGCATACACTCTGAACTTGATTTCACCACTAGATATAAAGAGAACGGTTACCGTTTGCAATACTACATGTTTAAACCGTAAAAAGCAATGTCTACTTTTTCACATGGTGCCTGACGTCGTCTATAATTCCCATTTGCTCGTTAATAGTCCTTGAGTCACGCTTGGCAAAGGAAATGATTCCGAAGGGCAGGTCATGCTTTTTGTGCAATGTTAATAAAAAGGATTAATCCTGTTAATAAGAAAAATATGTCGGAATTGTTCCAACGAGGATAGAAATAAACAAGATTTCTCTAATGGTTTAGCATTCATTAACGTTAACTTCCACTGTCTGTTACAGATTTTTTACAAATATTGGAAACAACAAGTTTACCGTTAAATAAATTCTTAACACATTGTTGACTGGTTACAATTTAACTCGTGTTTGCACTTGCGTTAGCTATTTCAATTTTTAGGGTAATATAGAATATTTTGAAAGTAAAATATTCAAAGTTATATAAAAGATACATCCAAAGTTTCATTTCAATTCATTGTGTATAAATAAAGTATGTTGAAGTTTGTTTAGATTGTTTTACTTTCACATTCAATTACGGAATAATAACCGGTGACATGGAATAATTTCTGCGTAATATTGTTGGTCAACAAAGTGTTAAGTTGCTGCAAAAGTTTTGACGTTTTTAGTTTTTAGATTTAGTTTAGTAACGTAATGAATGACGTTTATTTTCTAAATTAGAAATGACGTAATGTTTCAAATGAATTGCCTCAATGAAGCAAAATTTATCAACGAAACTGAGTAATAAATAGTGAAACAAACGCTGATGGCAGTGTATATCAACTGAAGGAACGTATTGGTTTTATGCAAAAGTTTTGAAGCTTCTGTATCAGAAAAAAAAGAAGAATTCTCAACTGTTCACTGGCGAAACCAAAACTAAGTAGGAACGAAAAAAGTATCCTTTATACATGTTATAATTGAGAATAGATGTTATTTGTTTCGAAGAAAACAATTATATTTTTAACCACGTACAAAAACTATCAAATACTTTGCATCAACACAATACACAGTAAAATTATTTATGAATATCTGTCAAAAACTAAAACCGCTTACAAATTGTACCCAAAGGATTAGAGCAATATGCAAATTCGTTCTCTAAAGGTATCCAGAAACATCTGAAATATTTCGACGATTCGAAAATCAAACGCAATTGAATGCAACGTTTTACATATATTTGTATATTCTGCCATATTAAGTTTGCATAAATATTCGTGGGCTAATAATAAAATGATTAATTCATTCTATTCCTGTATTAAATAGATCCCCTCATCATTTTCAGAAATGAATGATGACTTATTTGAAATATCTCACGTTTATAATATCTTCGCGAAATATCTTCGAGTACAATTTACGACGGGAGCCGAATAGAATACGGTTCAAGGGTTAACCACTTTGATAATTAATCCGCTCTATCGTTTAACTGTTCCGCCGGTTCGCGCCGTGGATTTAGATCGAGGACGCGTGTACGTTCGTACGTTCACGCACCGTTACAAATCACGTACGTCGGAGAAACGAAACGTTACGTTAACGAGCGACACATCCAGGTTGCATTACGCATGTAGATCGTCACATCCTCGACGAGTACGACAGCCGGTCCCGATCGCCTCGAATTACTTAATCACTCCCGCCGGAATGTACGAGAAGCTAATCGTCACCCACGCCGTCACATTTAACGTCTTTTATACCGCACGCGAACATCTTCTTGCAGATCTAGGTCGGCCATCTTCCGTTCTTCCTTAATTTTTGTCGTATTTTCTCTGATGACGTACGACTTCCTAATCGTACGTCTTATATGGACAGTACAAATGAAAATTTGCAGCTTAGCTAACGTTTAATGAATGTTTAATTTCCTGCACGTTCGGATATTAACACAGAAACTATCAGTTTGGTCAAAATGACCCATTCCTGATGCCTCCTTTTTGCATTTATTGTAAAGATATCAGATGTTTCTTTGAAAAATTATTAATGAAATCGATTTACTGAAGCGCAAACTAAATTGTAAATCAATTGAAGTCTCGATGGGTACACTCTTGAATTTTCTATAAAGAAATTTCATAAAGTTAATTTAACTGATCGGTAGTTTCAGTGTTAACACTAGAACTACCTTATCAATCGATTTGCTTGGTTGCAGTTTTCTTATTTTGCAATTATTTATATCGTAAAAGTGTTGAACAGTCGAAAGCATTTTGTAAGTTAACTATTTTACTCACATACTATAACGAATGTCAGTAAAAATATAAAACATCTATTACTATAATTTTTATAAGAATTACATATCAATCGTGTTAAATAGTTGATAGTTCTAGTGTTAATTTGTGTTTTCCAGCGAATTTACAATTGATTTTGTAATGCTTCGTTATTTTGCTTTTTGTGGGACATCGTGTTCTTTTCACTTTGTATAGTACACTTATAAGGGCATGACGTATGAAATATCCATTTTCGTCGGTTGAAATAAATGTAATCTTTTCTTTCATCAAGGTTTATTAACCGAAATATGTGTCATTGAAATCGACACACTTTTGCTATCGGGATAGAATGTTTTTAATTCCATTTATAAGTATACAACATCGAATTAACGATTCAAATTCTTGCCCTAATAATGAAAACTTTCTATCAAAATAGACAAAATTTAATATACGAAAGTGTACGTTAGAATTGGTCAAAATATGATCTGATAAGATATTACTGATGGTCTTGAAAACATAATAATTAATTCGGTTATTAGTTATTTTCTCTAACGTTTAATTCTTACTGACCTACAACTGTAATTCAAGTAATTGTAGCAAAGTAACATTTACATTTCAAATTACCATCATTAGCGTGTAATCAGATCATTTTATGCTGAAATTTGGTGCATATGTATGTCGTAATTTAGTCGTCAACTATTAATGACTTGTGTGAGAGAGATTATAATTAAATACTCCTAGAAATAAAAGTGAAATAATTGGTTGGCTTATACAGGAAAGAAAATTGATTAGTAGGCTTAGGATAAGAAATATGCGAGCAACGTTTGTATCGCAGAAGAGAACGCTTTAGGAGAGTTAATGATGGATTTAATTCGGGTGAGATCATCCGCTTCTACAAAGAAAGACGATGGTGTACCATTATCGTATTACGAAATTTTTTAATTCTGACACGCCTCACGTGCGCAATAGTATTGACGACACATTTTTTCCTGTATCGTTATCTCCCTTTCCTCCATAGACTGATGTTAGTGTTAAAATGTTATTATTTATCTACACATATTCTCCTAATGAGAATTGCTTAAATAATTTAAAATTCTCCTGCATAATACTGGTGATTAATTATACAATTTCTGTTATAAGTTGTCATTTCCGTTATTATTAGAATATTTTTCTAAATAAAATCAAGTATTCCTATGTGTACACCAAATTATTAAAAATACTGTATTTTATCATATAAAAATATCGTGATTTATCTTAGTAAACTGTACTTTTTTTTTAATACCATATGAAAGGTTAAATACACACAAATTTCCATTCTTATTCAAAAATCAAGTTTTCGAAAACACAATTGTTGGGGTAAGATTTTTGGTGAGTTAATAATAGTAGGAAATATATAAAAAATGTAGACACATAATTTGTAATCACACTGATATCTTCTGTTTATAAGAGATCATTTATTTTGCAGAATTTTTTGTTTAAACATTTTTCACAATGACTTATTTAATTACCTAGTATTCTTTTTAAAAATGAAATGAAACGAAAAGGTATATAGCTTTGAAAA